GTACTTGTAGCCATATCTTTGAACATACAGCAGCGTGTGCATCCTGTGATCTGGACTGTAACAGGATTACCGTTCGATTGCTTACAAGTGTTCCCAATACAGAAACCTATTGGTGGATGCCTCGTGACGACGGTGAACTCCATAATTTACCTTAATCAAAGTGTGCCGCCTTACGGTGTAAGTCTTAATAGTTCAGCGGATCATAGTACAAGTTTTCCACTTAAACCCCAAGATGGCGTACGAATTTCTCTGGATGCGGCCAATCTTACATTCATTGATATTGATAAATTAGTTATCTCGCTTAAAGGTGGCGAGCTATATGTACTAACATTATGCGTTGACTCTATGCGTACGGTGCGCAATTTCCATTTCCATAAGGCAGCAGCTAGTGTGCTAACCAGTTGCATGTGTGTCTGTCAGTCGGAATATCTTTTTTTGGGGTCACGTTTGGGAAACTCATTGTTGTTGCACTTCACGGAGGAGGACCAGAGCACTGTAATAACATTGGACGAAGTGGAAACAAAGGAAATGGCAGCAGCTAACGACGAATCTGTGCCGAAGGCGCGACGTATTGAAGACGAAGAGTTAGAGGTAGGATTGTAGATTCAGCATTTGTTAAATCCTTGCCAATACAATCTTTTTTTAGGTATATGGCACCGGCGCCAAGACCTCGGTTCAATTACGCAAATACATTTTCGAAGTTTGCGACAGTTTGCTTAATGTTGGTCCCATCAATTTCATGTGCGCTGGAGAGAGAGTTGAATTCGAGGAAGATGGTGTTACTCTACGACCGCATGTAGAGAATTTGGCTGAGCTGAAGATTGAAGTTGTCGCTTCTAGTGGTCATAGTAAAAATGGCGCAATTTCTGTATTTGTAAACTGTATTACACCCCAAGTCATTACCAGTTTTGAGCTCGAAGGATGCTTAGACGTATGGACTGTGTATGATGATGCCAGCAAAAAGACTTCACGCCAGGACCATCATGATTTCATGATCCTGTCGCAACGCTCATCATCGCTGGTACTACAAACTGCTGACGAAATCAATGAAATTGAGAATACAGGTTTCAGCTGCCAACAGCCAACAATTTTCGTCGGAAACCTTGGTCAAAATCGTTTCATAGTACAGGCAACAACCCGCAATGTGCGATTGCTTCAAGGGACGCGCCTCATACAAAATGTACCTATTGATGTAGGCTCCCCAGTGGTGCAGGTCTCCATTGCGGATCCATATGTTTGCTTGCGTGTATTGAATGGTCAAGTTATAACTCTGGCTCTGCGTGAAACAAGAGGTACACCTCGACTTGCAATAAATAAGAATACCATCAGCAGCATGCCAGCAGTAATTGCGATTGCCGCATATAAGGATTTGTCTGGTTTGTTCACTGCGAAGTCAGATGATGTGCTCAACTTGACGGGCAGCGGTGGTAACTCATTATACGCTGGCTTGGGATATATGAAAGCAGAGCCACATATGAAAATCGAGGATGAAGAGGATCTGTTGTACGGCGAATCAGGCAACGCTTTCAAAATGAACAGTTTGGCCGAACTTGCAAAGCAGTCCAAGCAGAAAAACACCGATTGGTGGCGTCGTTTACTGCCCCAAGTGAAGCCTACTTACTGGCTGGTTACTGCTCGCGAATCGGGTACTTTGGAAATTTATTCAATGCCCGATATGAAGCTAATGTATTTGGTGAATGATGTGGGCAATGGCGGTATAGTGCTTAGCGACTCAATGGAGTTTGTACCCGTGCCGCTTAGTAACCAAGAAAATAGCAAAGCTGGTATACTATTGAATTGCATGCCGCAGCATGCAAATTCGCCCTTGGCACTGGAAATCAGCATGGTGGGTTTGGGTAACCAGGGAATGCGTCCATTGCTTTTGATACGCACGCGGCTCGAATTATTAATATACCAAGTGTTCCGCTATCCCAAAGGTCATTTGAAAATACGTTTCCGTAAATTGGAAACCCTCAACTTGCTGGACTTGCAACCAACCAGTATGGAAGTGGATGAAAGTGAGCTGGAATCATACAATCTACAAGAGCGATATGTTAGCAAGCTACGGTACTTTGCTAACATAGGTGGGCACAATGGTGTTATGGTTTGTGGCGTGAATCCACATTTCCTTTTTCTCACACCGAAAGGTGAGCTGCGCGTGCACAAATTCTTTGGACATGGAGTGATTCGTAGTTTTGCGCCTTTCAACAATGTTAACTGTCCCTATGGTTTTTTGTATTTTGACCACACGACAGAGCTAAAGATATCTGTACTACCTACTTATCTTACCTATGATTCTGTGTGGCCCGTGCGGAAAGTGCCGCTACGTTGTACGCCACGCCAAATAGTCTATCATCGAGAAAACCGCGTTTATTGTCTGATTACGCAGACTGAAGAGCCTACTAATAAATACTATCGCTTTAATGGGGAAGACAAGGAATTGACAGAGGAAAATAAAGGCGAACGTTTTATCTATCCCAATGCTTCTAAATTTGCTATGGTGCTTATGAGCCCAGAGACATGGGAAATAGTGCCAGACGCTTCCATACAATTCGAGGAATGGGAGCATGTGACTGCTTTTAAAATCGTAAAACTCGCTTACGAAGGCACACGCTCCGGCCTCAAAGAGTACCTTTGTATTGGCACGAATTTCAACTACAGCGAGGACATCACTTCACGCGGTAACATACACATTTATGACATCATCGAAGTCGTTCCTGAACCAGGTAAACCACTTACGAAATTTAAATTGAAGGAAGTTTTCAAGAAGGAGCAAAAGGGTCCCGTCTCGGCGATATCGGATGTGCTTGGCTTTCTAGTAACAGCGCTCGGTCAAAAGATCTACTTGTGGCAGTTGAATGATGATGACCTCATTGGTGTTGCATTTATTGATACAAACATTTATGTGCATCAGATAATTTCGGTCAAGTCGCTAATTTTAATTGCTGATGTATACAAATCCGTCAGTTTGTTGCGTTTTCAGGAAGACTTCCGCACACTCTCACTAGCGTCACGTGACTTTAATCACCTGCAGGTCTATAACATTGAATTCATGGTGGACAACAACAATTTAGGTTTCCTAGTAACAGATGTTGACAAGAACTTCCTAGTGTACATGTACCAACCAGAGTCACGGGAATCGATCGGTGGCCAGAAGTTGATACGCAAAGCCGACTACCACCTCGGTCAGGCGGTGAATACAATGTTTCGTGTACAATGTCATCAACGCGGTCAACATCAACGTCAACCATTCCTCTATGAAAATAAGCATCTTGTATTCTTTGGCACATTAGATGGTGCGCTTGGCTACTGTCTACCACTGCCGGAGAAGGTATACCGGCGATTTTTGATGTTGCAAAATGTATTGCTCTCATACCAAGAACATCTTGGCGGTTTGAATCCAAAGGAATTTCGTACAGTAAAGTGCTCGAAAAAGTTATCACTAAATCCATGCCGTTGCATAATTGACGGTGATCTAATTTGGTCATACACAATGATGTCTACCGCGGAGAAAAACGAGGTGGCAAAGAAAATCGGTACGCGTACAGAAGAAATTCTCGCTGATCTTTTGGAGATCGAACGTATTGCAGCGGTATTTTAAGACATTTGAAAACTAATTTAAAAAACATTTTTATATTTTAAAATATTTAGTATATATAAGAAGATCAGACGATAAGTTATGTGTACGATAAAGCGCCGTTTGCATGTTAAGTGCAACAAATAACATCAAAGTGTTTATACTTTTCATTCTTAAATGCTTATATAGCTTTTCATAGCTATGTAATCTTGAAAACTTTCATAAGCCATCATCGATTCGTTACTTCGCTGCTTGCTATGCTTGAGTTCCGGTCGCATAACGAATTTTATATGTGAAAGCAACAACAACTTAGCTAAGCGATAGCGAGTTTGGGTGTATATACCCCAATGAGTTCGTTTGTTTCGCCACTAGCTAGCTGTTAGCTAACCGATACCATACTTTAATTCCGTTAAAAAAAGAATTTCGTGGTTAACTTCCTGCTACCATAAATTTTTTTACCACTACATACAACTGCGGACAGGATATAATGCTGACTACACACGAGGCGACCGTTGAAGCAACGTGTTGATGCAACCTGTTTTTCTTGTTCAATACACACGGCACAACCGTAGAAGCAACCATAGCGGCAACCTCAGTAGCAAGGCGAATTTATACAAGGTGGTGTTACTGGCGAATTTAGATTACAACAACGACAACCATACGTATTTTGTATGGAGGGTGTTATGTCAAATGGGTGCTGTCAAATCAGTAAAAGCAAAAACAAAATACATGTAAGGCGAAGAAATCAACTGATTTTACAACACCACCTTGTATAAATTCGCCTTGCTCAGTAGTGTGTAATATATTTTAAAATGCGAAAGTTAGAGAGTGTTGCAATTTTCTTTCTCTTTTCCTCCTTGAGCGAAGAATAGCTGCAATTTGACATTTTTGTACCGAAAGCGAAAACAAAACACAAATGTAGTTTTTTTTTGTACTACCGCTACCACCTTCTATGAGCAACAATGCTACACACGAGGCCACAGTCTAAGCCAAGGCGAATTTATA